CCCTTCTCATTCAGCCCCACGATATTAGAATAATTAGAGACTGTGGGGCTATAGATACGGGAAGAATACGGTTTTTCCCACGATCTTGACAACTTGGCATGGAGATCGGGAAAAAACGGAAGGCCCCCTCGTGAAGGCTGTGACCTCGCCCTCAGGAAACGCTCGTCTAATTTGTATGCTCGGCAACAGCGGGACCGCTGCCAGCGGGATCGCGAGCCTGGCCGCTCTCATCAAACACGGCCAGGCGAGAGCGGAGCGTGCGCAGCGAGAGCAGCTCGCAGTCATGACAATCAGCCCCCTCGAGAGCTGACCGTGCATGCTCCGCTCCCAAACAAACGACACACAAATCGTGTGTATCCCCCGCTGCCAGATATCGTGGGCAGGGAGGAACACAGCGTTTGTAATGCCGTTAGCTCGCCATAGACTTTTTCATGATTGTTTTTTATATAGACAGACACATACACAGTATGGATCATGCCCCACGGAAACAGAACTAATACACTGTGTACAACAATACCATTAGACTACACACAGACACCCCTTCCTATGATATATCTGCCTAGACAAGAACTGATAATATTATGCACATTAGAAAATAATACTATCAAGTCATAATTTATATCAAAATCAAAAACATTGTAAAAGATATAGTAACAAACCCCTATTTAAAAACTTTTAGAATCCTTTATTTTGTGGAAAACACAGTGATCAAAATGAGAGAACAGTAACCACTGTATCACGAAAGAAGATTACAACAAAACTTTTGGGAGGGTTACAGCTGTCAAAAAGTAGTAGGGATTGTAGAGAGCCCTGCATTTAATGACTTCAGCACATCTGTGGCCGCAGGATATCACTAGTTTCTCACACTTTGCTGGTGTGATCTTGGTCCACTCTTCTTCCAGTATCCTCCATAGTTCGGTAACTATAGTGGGTTTCTTAGCCGTAACTTTGTCGCCAAGGATTTTCCAGAGATTGTCAATCGGGTTTAAATCAGGACTCTGGGCTGGCCATTTCATTATTTCAATGTTTTAAGCTTCAAAGAACTGCTCTATCCGTTTGCAGTGTGATGGGGGCATTGTCTTTCATGAAAATTACAAGCTGATTGGGAGATGCTTGCAGGGAAGGAACTGCATGTTGCTGAAGGAGGTTCTGATAAACATTTTCATTCACCCTGCCATGTAGCTGTATAAGAGGCCCAACTCCTGCTGCACAAACCATCCCCCCAAAGCATGACACTTCTTCCTCCACCATTCACTGACCACTTTATGCACTTGGGGTTCAGTCTTTCCCCAGTTTGACGTCTAACATAATGTTTCCCATCTGACCCAAATAAATTGAACTTGCTCTCATCACTAAAGTGAACTTTGGACCACTTCTCCTCTCTCCACACGTCATGCTTCTCAGCAAAGGTGAGTCTAGCTTTTTTAACTTTTTGCTGATGAGAGTCTTGGTCACTGCAGAGTGTGTTTTCAGTCCGATTTCTCTTAAACGTGGTGAGACAGATCCATACCCTGTTCATTGCTGAAACAATTCCCCATCAAGAGTCTCCGCATCATCCTGTCTTCTCGTGCATTTTTCTTACGTGAACGACCGGCCTTTTTTGTTGGACTTGAATGAATTAGTGTCATTGTAAAGTTGCAATTTTCTAGAAATCAGAGATCTGGAATGACCAGCTTCAAATAGGACTAAGCACTGATCTTGAAATTTAGGAAATTGTAGGTTGTTCCCTAATTTTGATCTCCACTGTATGTGTGTGTGTGTGTGTGTGTGTGTGTATATATATAATTTCTTTCCAAAAACAATGGCTTTACCTGTAGTGTCTTTCTTTAAAACTTGATAGAAGGTGGCTTTAATTACATTCATGGTGGCTTTACACATGGGAATAGACATAAGTAAAATTGTTTTAGTTTGTGCGTTTACTCACACGTGTAGCGGAGGTACTGGCGAGGGTTCATAAATGTACCGGCCTTGTGTGTGTCTATCATCGATTGGTACCGGAGGATGAAAAGCAGGAAAGAACTGAGGTGTAGCTGTAAAATGAAAAAAAGAGAGTTTTTAAAAATGAATTGCGATTAAATGTTTAAACATAAATACCATGGTAGACAGTAAATTGTTTAGTAAGTGTGGATTCACAGAATTTACTGCAAACAAACAAAAAGGTATTTAAGTACACTCAGTCAAACACAAATCAGTGTGCAGGACTGTCGAAAACACACAGTTGCTTCAAGGCTAATCAGCAAAAATGTCTTCTGTGTCCTGTATACTATGTCCTACATGTGTTTGTGTTCACATACTGTACGCAGTGTTGGATTGTGTGCTCTGCTGCATTTCAAAAGCTTCAAAAAATTATTAATCACAACCGTTACAGAGAAGGTGGGAGGAATTTATAAAATCTACAGATAACACATTAAAATAATTGGATAAAAAAAAAAGTCTATATTTTGACCTGATAGAGGAGGTATAAACAAGTATAATCAAGTATTAAACATCAGCATAAAACATCTTTCAAAGCAACTCAACATTTGAGTTTTGAAAATTGACCTCTAGGCAGTTCAAAAATAGATTACCAAAAGTTACATTGTATTTCATCTAAAACTAACATGACAAAAAAAGTTGTAACTATATTTTCATTTCTCAAGCAAAGCAAATTTTAAAAGTTCATTAAAATCAAAATATCTGTTGGGGGGGGGGCGGGGGGGCAGTGGATGGTTGATTGGTAGGTTAGGACTATTCCAAGGGCCCTGATCAGAGAGGTGTGAGTCGTACTTCATACATTGCTACACTATAAAATTTGTTTGCTCACAAAATGTAGCTAAAAGTTTGCTAATATGACCACAGGTTTGGAGAGAATGAAAATTTTTCACATCTTTTAAATATATAGTGTTGGAATCAGATTGTAATACTATGGTAATCTGATCAATCGAAACTGGTATTACCATGATACTTATTGTTACTGAAATCGAGAGCATATAAAGTGAAACCTAGAAACAGTAATTAAGAATTTCAGTGGGCTCTGGCACTGTAACAAGGCAGGGTACAGCAACGGATGTATTTTTTAGCTTGTAAACATCTGGCAACTGTGTGCCACAGTGGTTAAGGGCTGTGCCCAGGGACCAATGCACAACATCTGGGTCCAATGCTATACAATACAAGCTGCCAAATGCAGTGGGCTCCACACATTTGTAAAGCCCTGCTTTACCCCATTCCTCACCTTACATTATGCACTGTTAGCGTTAGCGTTCCATGTGACAGCGCTCAGAAAGCTAATTGGTGTAAACTGCAAGTACCGCAGCTCTCATTCAAACACTAGTCCTTGAGAAAATCACATCCGATATGATCAAAAAGTCCAGAAAGCCAGAAGAAATTTGACACAGGACCCAAATGTGTTTTTGAGGGCTGTATTTCTTGTCCATGAACTGAAAGAACATAGAAAGAACTCAAACAGTGATGCATTAGAAAGCTGAATTCATGACCAACTGCATGCTGGGAAACATATATAAACAGAAATGAGAAATATCAGTTAAATAATAAATTAGTTAAATAATAAATAAAATTGAACCCACACTACATGACAATACAGTGATATCTTCCAAAGAGACCAGATTTTTGCATGAAAAACTGATGTTACATTGACACAACATTACTAGTTGTTCAGATGTTCTGAGTATTTTTGTATGTATTTTAGTCTAATTAAATCTCTTATTATTATTTTCTATCCCCATCTCTCTCTCTCTTTGCTCTTCCTTTATCACTCCACACAAAATATTTACTCTCTATACACTGTAGAGCACTGCTGTAAACCTCCCATTTTCTCTCGCATTGCTATCTTTCAGCACTTGTGAAAGTGAAAGTGAAAGTGACGTGACATGTGGCCAAGTATGGTGACCCATACTCGGAATTAGTGCTCTGCATTTACCCATCCAAAGTGCACACACACAGCAGTGAACACACACAAACCGTGAACACACACCCGGAGCAGTGGGCAGCCATTTATGCTGCGGCGCCCGGGGAGCAGTTGGGGGTTCGGTGCCTTGCTCAAGGGCACCTCAGTCGTGGTATTGAAGGTGGGAGAGAGCGCTGTACATTCACTCCCCCCACCTACAATCCCTGCCGGTACGAGACTCAAACCCACAACCTTTGGGTTATGAGTCTGACTCTCTAACCATTAGGCCACGACTTCCCCCTTGTTTATTCCCCTCCGTTCCTGTTCCATCACTCATAAAATTCTGTTCATCTTTCGTCAACACTTGTCTCTCCCTTACTCCTCAAAAGTTTTATGCTCCCAAATTCAGCTTCCTCCACTCCATCACGGCATGAGTCGCTCATTCCAGAGACGCTCTGCACTCTGTCAGTCCTCCTCTCCCACGTACATCTGTGCTCCTTCATCAACCTTCGCTTCCTGGCCTGTATCAACTCCACCATCTTTCCACACCAGTTCTTTCACTTTTTGTCTGGTTCCTTTTATTAGGTGGGTCTTTGCTATTCACTACCTCTCGGCCTCACACATGTGAGTGATACTTATTAAGGGCACTTTTAGCTACATGAAATACTGAAAAATCAAACAAATATGTTTCGTCCATGGTAAAAGTCTAAAAATAAAGATCTGGTCATGATTTGATCTTCATGTGGATATTTTATATTGTGTATGGTTGCTAATAAAACAAGCTAACTAGCAGTAAAGTAGCTTGAAATTGTTTTCTAAAATGCTTGGTGTAATGGTAATGAAAAACGTATAGGTAAAACAACTATTTAAAAATTATATATATTTTTAATTATTACAAATATATACACATAATCTTAAGTTCTTCATAATTTTCTTTTTAAAATAGTTGTAATTTGAAGAAACTTTTAATAATTTTCTCTTTGTTTAGCCAAATTGTCTGGGTAAGGGACAAGTAAAATAAACAATTTAACACTTTAATAGAAATTCTTAAGTTCTTAGTAATTTCCTTTTTAAAATGTATTTAAGCTTTTAATGCATTTATTTTTTTTAAATAAAACCAATAATAAATAAATATAATAACGTTAAAATGTTCTCAACAAAAAATTACATACATGAAATAAAACAGTAAGGCTAATAAGATCCTAAAACTATAATACTTTTCCCTGTAAAATCATTTAAGAGGAACAGGAAAGCATCAAACTCAAGAATCACCCATATCTGACCCCATTCATTAACTTTTTCCTACTCTTTCCCCAAATCCATTTAACGGGGTCATATGATGCTATTTTAAAGATCATTATTTGGTGTATTTG